TCAAGGTTCTTGCTCATTTTAAAAGACTTCAAGTTCAATAAATAACTTCTGAACTTAAAAACCAGATAGTGTGAATTGCCTCATAGATCAAAAGAGTTATACTTGTTCTCTTCTGTCAGGTCAGTTACTGACCATGCCTGGTGAAAACAACTATCAAACTGTTTATAATCACATTTCAACCAATGCCAAGTACAGTCATCCCCAAGGCACACAGAAGCAACATAACCTAAAGGAAAGATCCCATTTTTCTCTGTTCCACTTTATAATGAACTATTGTCTCATTCATTCTCTTTGTTTCTAGCCCAATATTTACAATTTAAATAATGACCCTATTCTCCCCCAACCTTCCTCTGAAATGAAAGTCTGGCTTTTCTGCTGTAGGCTGCTTGGATTCTTGACACCCTAAATTCACTATTATTATCTAAATCAACTTGGGAAGGCATTTCAATTTCTCTTTATCTCAGTTGCTCTGTCTTTAAAATAGGGATAGTGGTCATACCTACCTCATCAGAGCTTTGTGAATATTAAAAATGAGATTATCTGTAGAACATTAGAAAATTCCTAGAAGACAATCATCAGTCACCATCACCATAATTCTTTAGGTATGAAAGGTTTGAAAATTCTGGATCTCAGTAGAATGATCATAATAAAAGTATGGTTACACAAAACAGAAATGCAGATCAAACATCCTAGTTCCCCAGGAAAGAATAGGTTTTTAATAGAGTTTAGCTAAATTCATTAACCTTCCCTATTGAGATCATAAAGGAAAACTATATTCACTAACATTCTTAAAGACTATGTATTTCATCCTTGATTTCTAGCCCACTGGTATCAGGATAAAAATGATGAATGTCAGTTCTACACCTATCTATGTGTCTTCATGACCAACCACACACAATTGCTCCCTTTGATAAACTCCTGAGGTCAAAGTACCTGATTCAGTCTGAGTCCTCAACAGAAATAATCCTGAATACAAAATGCCTTTGAAATTTTTGAGTTTAAAGTTTGTTAAAGCTCCAATCCATTATGTTCCGTTCTGATTATTAAGCTGTTATCTCCTAGCCTTAAATCTATTCTTCTATAATTTACCTTAAGATTCAGGATGAGATTTCAAACTAGATTTCTCCTTGATAATTAACCCGTTGGTTTGTTCTGCATTGTTAGTGTTACAGGCCTCTATAATTTGGGACAGAAAAAACTTGCTGCCTGTGTTTATTCTGTTTCTGCTTGTGTTGTCCCAGCAATGCTTGCTAGTAGGAAAGCAGTGGAAGGAGGCGCATCACACTCCCTGAGCGGTCATGATTGAACCGTCCCCTCTCTCCCTCCTGAACAGATCAGGATGAGGAAATGTATGCACTTGGGTGTCTTAGATTCACAGGACCCCTCTCTGGACTCCAGGGAAGCCCCTCTCCTTAGAGGTCTGAGGCACAGTTCTAGAGACTTGTGGGTTCTAAAAACTTTTTTTTTTCTTTTTCTTTTTCCTTTTGGTATTGGGAATCAAATTCATGATCTCATACTTTCCAGACAAGTGCCATGCTGCTGAGCTATGTTCCCAGCCCTAATTGCTCCTTTTTTATTCGCCCATTGAAGTATAGTTTTTCTTACAGTTATTCAACTCGTATACCTGAACTTTTCAATCTTCCAATATCAGATTGAGTAACCTTTTCAAATCATAAGTTTCAGTTAAACAATGTGGGATAGTTTATGTTTTGCTGACTATACCTGAACATTTATACCATCTGAGGACTGATATTATAGCCAAAGCTTTTGCTACCATAGCAAACATTTAAAATACATTCCACTTCCCTAATGATTGAACAATGAGTACTAAGGAAATTGAATTCAAAAATATTTTAAAAATCTATTTGCTTGGTGTTTGGGCAAGATTCTTGGCAAAACGTTACTTAAATCAAGAGAGAGGTGGAAGATCTGATTAGCTGGTAATACTATTCAAAACCCAATTAGAAAACAATATCCCATAATATATGTTGACTATTGGTGACTTCATTTCACAAAGTATCATAAGAGAATCATAGGCTCAGGAACTAAACAGCTCTTGTGAATATAGCTAGGAAGGAGAATAAAAAGAAGTCAGAAGATTCTCGAGTATGCATGAGATAGATGGCCTGCTTTTTCAAACCCCAGATAGGGGAATATACATCAATGAAGGCTCTGAGTGTCAAAGGTTCAATTAAAAAATTTAATAATGACTCAAGGCCAATAGAAGATGATTCACATCTATCACCCAGGGAAACATCTCAAGGGGATGAAGTATCTTCATATAAGGGTAAGGTTAAAGATTAGTTCTTCCCCCCAATTCTTCAAGGCAGTATCAACTTGATAGAACCAGGAAAAGAGGACATGAAAGGCATCTAAGAAGGAATTCTTCAAGCCACATGAACTGTCGGAAGCCAAACAGATTAGAACTGATTAGAATATTTCAGAGAACTGTAATATTAGAATATCACATTGTAGGAATATTAGCCTTAAACATGTATCTTAAAATAATTCTATAATCATCCTCAAATTGAGCATGCAAGTTCCAAATTGCAGATAATTTGGTCATTGTCACTGTTGCTGACATTATTTGATGAGAACAATGCTGAACCAAAGACCATGGGCTTTGATTGAATCCTAAGACAAAGAGATATTTGAGCCAGTAGAGGCTTATTTTTGTGATGGAATAGAACATAACTTGTATATTTGATAACCAGAAAGGTGAACTAAGGCAAAGAGAGCTGGAAGCTCACTAATCTCATCCCCTTTCCCAGGCACATAAGAAGACAATATTTACCAGCTTTCCTTGCAGCTTAATTGGATTATAGAAGTAGGTTTTGGCCAGTGGAAGAATGACCATGCCACCATAGTCTCTCTGTAACAGCCCATGAGCACAATAACTCAGTCTCCTCCTTTTTGTGGGTCCCTAAAGGACCATGCTATCTTTAAGAAGATGGCACCAAAACATAGGAGTCCTCTTTTTTAAGGAACCTATTTTCATCATAAATATCCAGGGAGAGATGTTCACTATGTATCAGGCTGTGACACAAGGAATAAATAATTTATTTTTCTAAGTTAAGAAACAGATTTCATGGTTATATGTTATAGTGATTAGATGTTATCCCCTTTAGCACAGTATTAAATTTACCTATTGGATTTAATTAGCTTGGTTTTCTTGATATCTTTTTCTTTTTACTAAAATTATGTAAATGGGAAAAATATCATAGGAAAAGTAATAGAAAAGCCTTGATATAAGGAGTCAAGTTCCTCTAGTACTTTCATAATTTATGAAATATTAGTGTCAACTTCTCTGGCAACAACAATACGTTTCTGTGAGATAAAGCTAATATTACTATATCAGTTATAGGCAAAAAGTTAGATCAAATATTTCCTTAAGATTGTTTATGGTTTGTGATCTATGATTTTTGAGGTAAATGTTGAGCATTAAAAGTCATTTTAATGAAAATACAGAAGGAAATACTAAGTATTAAAAGTCTCTTTAATTAAAATACAGAAGATTTGCATTAAAAATTAGCTATTATAAGACACTTGTCAAAATCCAGCTATAAATGCTTTATGTTTAATGGGTGTGAACTCATGATAAGCAGTTTTATTCAGAAGGATAACTAACTTACAGAGAGGATCATGTTTGAGTAAGATAAGTCATTGCAGGTAATAAGTTAATGGATCTATTCCCAAACTCTGAATGTTCGATAATGTTGTACATATCTCTCCATACCTACATCCTTCAATCAACAACCTTAGCTGATATAGTTAAGGGGGATTCTGACCACTATGCCTGGTTAGTCAACTGAGACTCTACTCCTCCAGATTGCTCCTCTGGATACCCATTCACTAATCTTTTATTCACGGTCATGTTTTCTGTGTTAAAGCTGTGTTCTGGACATCTGTGTTCTCTCAAAATTCATATGCTAAAATCTTATTCCACACGGTGATGGTGACAGAAGTTGGGCTGTTGGGGGTGATTATGAAACTCTTACAAATGAGATCAGTTTTGTGAGCCTTCCACCACCAAGGACACAGGGAGAAGGCATCATTTAGTACTCAGAAAAGCAAGCCCTCACTGAATCCAAATCTGCCAGCACTGATATTTTTTCAGCCCTTAGAATGGTGGTAAATACATTTTATTTGTCTATGTCACAAAATTATGAACTTTTGTCATAGCAGCCTAAACCAACTAAGATGGCAAAACAATAAAATTTGTTAAATGAAGCTCAAACATAAAAAATCTAAAGGATTTTGGTCATATTTAATTATATATACATTAATTAATAAATTGTTCTAGTAAAAGCATTCAAATTCTTATAAAAGATAGAACAATAATTAAAATTCTTACATCAAATAGAATTTTCTTTCCATAAATTAAAATCAAGACTATTGTAGCCAAAACCTAAATAAAAAATATGTAAAACACATTCAGCTAACGAATTATCTTTTTCTAACCACTGAAAAATAGTGGCTCATTGAAGCTAAACATTTTAACTTAAAGCTGAAAACAAAATATGAAAGACTGCATAAGCGGCTTGGCCCTCAAATTACTTTTTACAATCATTTCAGTCAAAAGTTGCACAAATGATAATTCTTATTCCTTTTATTTCAATAATTTTAGAAAAAGTATAAGAAAACATAGAAAGTATGATTCTGAATCTCTAATTATATGAACTCTGAAATTATTTTTCCCCTTCAATTCCATTACATACCATAGAATCCAAGAATATTGACTGTTTATTTCGGTTCACTGACATAATTAAAGGATGATTCCAATGTAACAGAAATAGTTTAGTTTGAATTGATTGAGACATTAAAATGTTTTATTAATGTCTACTAATTCTACTGAGTCTACACAAACAGCATACTACAAATGGAAACACAGTACTGTTGAAATCAGGAAGAGCATGCGCTTAGGAGGCCATCCCCCCTCCACGCCCTTAGCAATCCGTTCATACACAAGCTATTTGGAGGTAAAATAACTTTCCACTCACCAGTGTGGAGGTTTGTGAGGCATCGGCCAGATCCCCTGGGATCTCAGGTGTTCTCGTGTTGTTTGGGATTCTGTGAGGGTTACGGGCTATCGCTTCACACCAGCCCAGCATTTTCTCCTTCCTCTGTTCCCTTTTCAATTTCTGAAATTCTGAAAATAATTTACATTCCCTGAAACAGGTCGTTTATTTTAGCTGTGTTTTTGGAAAATAGATATAATTTAGTGAAATCATGAATAGAAAGCATATTATCAATACTATCTGATCAATAATATCCTACAGTCATAAGACACTGAAAACAGTACTCATCTTTTTGATAGACCCAATATCTTATAAGCCCTCTTGTAGCCCTGTAGCCCTCTTTGTGACACTTCTAGAGGGATGGCAGGAATTTCTGCATTAGTTTCTGGAGCTATTTTCCTAAGTTCTCACCTTGGAATCTAAGAGTAGATCCAGTTCATGATAACATCTACTTACACAAAGCTGTGTGTAGCTATGTAGACACACAGGGATATATTATCACAACAGAGATATGATGTGACAATGCATTGTTAGGCAATTTTTTTTTTTTTGTGGGAACAAACAGCTAAATGCTTTAGGTCAATTGCGTGACATGATCTCCTGACACACAGGAGAAACGACTGCTATCATAACATGGCACTGAGTTTTTCACTAAGTAGTACTTCTTTACAAATAAAAAGAGCATACTCAAAATATCAATGAAAAGTAGAGTGTAGTAAAAGCATAAACCAGTAATGCATTCATTTATTATCTGTTACTATGGACTATTCACAATAGATGTGATTTACATTTCAATAACAACACGGTACATTGTTTACACAAGCATCATCATAAACCCATGCATTAGTGCTCTGTACTATAGTGGCAAGATTTCTGGGATGCCCATAGAACTTTTTCAGGTCTGTTATAACCTGACAGAACCACGCTGTAAGTGCAATCAATCCTTCATCAAACATCATCCTGCAGTGCATAACTGTATGTCAGTGACAAATAGAATCTGGCACAGGTTTTCAGCAGAATGTCTTACAGAAGCAGAAAAAAAAAAAAACTGAATATAGGCCAGTGAGCATGTAGTCATTCTAGTTGTGCCATGATTGTCTCTCCCAGAAAGTTCTGCCAAATGAAGAACAATTTTGGCATAAGTATAGTAAATTTAGAGTTTGACATCTATGACAAGTATAATTTATCTAAAAATTATAATTTAAAAATATTTATTATGCCATGTGTAAAAAAAACTCAAGAATTCCTTCTGCCATTCCAGAAATTTCCATTTGGGGGTAATTTTTCTGCCTGGAAAAGTCATATCAACAAGGGCTTTTAACATAATAGAGAAACATTGTTTCCTTGTAAAGTTTTATAGCCTACTTTTCCACTCCACCAGTTTCAGTAATTAGAAATAGTTTATTGCAGGTCTTTAGTTAAATGCATTACACTGTCAATTAAATATCAAAAATAATGTGGAGTAATTATTTTTCACAGCATCCAAAGCAATTAGCAATCTGGTGGTTTATAACATTTCAGGGATTCAAAATAGCACATTTCAGAGCACTAAGAAAAGAAACATAGAGAAAGGTTGCACTGTGGATTGATGTGTTATTACTCTAAATGACAAAATACTCAAGTTAAATGGATCTGAACAATGTAAATAGGAAAATGATAAAAAAAAGTTTCATAAAAACTGAGTTTAAGATACTGAGTGAAATGGATTTCTTAATGGGACTGGCAATCTTATACAAATAACTCACTCATTTCAGGTAGAGAGAAATGGTGAAAGTATCTTGGAAACAATTGTTTGAATGATAAACAAATTAATGTTCGTCCTTTCAAACATACTGTTTGATATTTCATTTAAAAATCTTACCTATTTAATGTGAAATCTGCATAGCCAACTAGTTTGCACTTACAGTACACACTAGTATTTTACACTTACAGTACACACTATGTTGTAATGCATCAGCTTTTAATTGCATTCTTGAAGTGTTAAGGGCAAATGAAAACAAGTAGCTTTATTCAAAAGCAAGGAGTAAAATGATATATAATGATCAAAAGTTTAATTAACTATAAACAAATGTTTCACTTCTACATCATTTGTCATTCATTTTTTAAAAATTTAGCTCTATAATTTAATATCAACCTTGTGCTTAAAACAAAACATTGAATTTATGATTCAATAAAAATATAATAATTTACTTAAAAGAATTATGGTATTAGTTTCCATTTGGGTCATGTCTGCAAAACTTTCACATTTTATTTCCCATTTGAAGCCTGAGAAGTAGTTTGATTCATTTGTAAGTGTGTTTTTGATGGATAGTGGCAGTGGTGGCTGTCATGACTGCTGGATACTCAACAATATCTTGTTTTCTGTTATTGAAAAACAGTCAAATTTTAAATTGCATTTCAGAGCATGTTTTGCATCAGCAATGCTAAAGTAGAGAGTCTAGAAATAGAACTAAAGGGTTAAAATCATTGAATGAGAAGCCTCTGCAGACCAGCCTTCTCCCTCCACAGGTCTGGAGCACTGATCGTATTCTTAGGTATAAGAATATACTGCCAGCCAGAAGGGTAGGCAAATTATAAGCAATTGTAATTAACCCTAAAGCACTTTAAACTGTAAGTATCATTAGTAATACATCAGAATAGAAAAGTGGTCATTAAGCATTCATGTTAATTGCCATCTAACCACTGAACCAAGCTAATATCAGCTGCAGCAATGAGAAACTTATATAATGATCACAGGAAATTGAGATTTAACTAAGCTTAATTTTTAATATGCTACTTCAAGCAGATATTTAATTTAATAAATAGGAGCACAGTGAATTCTCCATGGACTAAATTGACAACAAATTAAAATTGGAAAAATGTGCAAGGCAATTGAGTGTGTCTTATGGAGAATAATTTACATTTAATTCAGGAAACATTTACTGAACACTGCTTTTGTGACAGATATTGTGCTTGGAATCATGATTGCAGAAATGGAAGCATCCCTAGGCTCAGATCAGGAATGGAAACAAATTATATTAACTTCTATATATGGTACAAAAAGAGCTATCATAGAGGAACAGCACTATGAAAATGTTGAGAAAAATTAACATTGGGTGCAGGAGAAAGTTGATCTTGGGAGACTCTCTAAAGAAATTAAATTATAGTTCTGACAAGAAAATTAAAATTGTCATTCTTCCAAAGACTTCTGCTAATTGCTGTGTTGCACAACTGCAGGGACATCATTCTCATCACAGGCCAAGCAAATGGCACTTGGCTACAGAAGGGCTCTTCACGTAAAGACCAATTGCACGGTACAACCTGATAGTTTAGCCTGGTTGAATTCCTCCAGTGTGGCTTAAATAGTCATAATATTTTACTCTAAAATCAAAGATAAATTAATCTCAAAAAAGAATTTTCTCTTCCAAAGAAAAATGCAAGTGATTGCCTGCATTTACAACTCTAATTCCCCAACTTTGCCTATTCTATACCACATCAAGTATAGTATGGTTAAGGCATAGGTAAATGTTTCTTCTCTTAGCCACACATGTACAATGACTTCACCTTCAAACTTGAGATTTTACAATGAACTTATGTCTGAGAATTAAAGGCATGTTTCAACTGGAAAATTTCTAAGATTTGACCGTGTACCTGTTTAGTTAATGCGTTTTTAAGAACTGTGTATCAACTACTGGACATTTTCCTAAACCCTAAAATAATAAAGAAGGTTTCAGTAATGAAAGGAACAATTTGCAAATAGGAGGGTAATGGAACAATTAGTGACATGAATCATATCTCTGAGATGTAATGTCTGATCCTTGAAAATATCTGTGTGTGTACACGCATGTGTGTGTGTATTCTTCCAAACTTTATCTACAGATTCAGTGCCATTTTCAGAAGCTATTTTGTAAACATTGTGTTACACCCTGTATGTATATATATCCCAAAGCCTTGTGTGCTCAGAGACAGGGCTTTTCAGAGATGGTTGTATCTAAAGTGTGTGAATATGGATTAAGGAATGATGGTTGGATTAGTCCATTGATTACTTTAGCATTGTTGTGGGTGTGGGTACTGGGAAGTCTTACCCCAGATGTGAGTTTCACCAACTAATAAGCTTGCAGTCTGAAAGGAATATAAAGGGACAAAAAAGAGTGTTGGCTTGTGCTTCCTACTTTCTTCTGGCCACACCATGAACCGTTTCTCTCCTCTGCAGTGCCCTTCTGCCATGCCACACTACCTTGAATCCAGTAACTATGGACTAAAACTTCTACAAACTGTGAGCTGAAGTAGACCCTTCCTCTCTTAATTTTGGATGTTGCACATTTGTCTCAGCAATGAGAAAACTAAGACATATTGGAAAACTCAGTCTCAAAGTTTATGAAGGAATGCAAAATACTGAACTAGTCAACATAACACTGAAGGAAAAGCAAACTGAAGAAACACAGTATCTAGTTTTGAAATTTACTGTAAAGTTATAAGAATCAAGAAAATATACTACTATGAAAAGAATACATACACTATAAAATAAAAAATAATACAGGGTCTATAGTAGATTAAAATATAGCAATTCATCTTGGCCAAACGATCTAAGTTTCTTCACAAGGATGAACGAGAAGGAGTGGGGGTAAGAGGAAGAGAAAATTAAGAAGAGAATGAGAAAGAAGAATAGACACAGACTTTACACTTTTCATAAAATTTAATTCAAAATGAATAACAGATCTATATGTAATTGTAAAACTATATAACTTTTAAGAAAACAAGAGAAAATATTGGCAATATTGGGATTAGCAATGAGGCACTGGATACACACTAAAATCACGATCTGTGAAAAAAATTAATAAGTTGGGATGTTTCAAAAATCATAAGTTTCTACTCTGAGAAAGACTCTCATGAGAATAAAAAGACAAGGCACAACCTAAAAGAAAATATTTGCAAAATTTCTATGAGATAAAGACTAGTATCTAAAGCACACAAAAATTCTTAAAAACTCAACAGCGAGAGAACAATAGCCCAAGGAATAAAAGGCAAGTGATCTGAACAGTCATCTCAACAGAAAGATAAATTACGATGTAAGCATATGAAAAGATGCTCAACATCACATGTCTTTAGATGACCGCAAATGAAGACAACATGATATAGCTACACAGCTCTT